GCTAGTTGTCCCATTCCATAGAAAGAGCCAAGATATTATATTCTCTGCTTGGTGCTCTTGGGCTAAGAACTATTGCCCCCGTCTCGAATTGGTATGACTGTTATGTATTTTAAATTATGTATTGTTTCTGTGTCGTTTTAATTTTCTGTTTGTATCCCTCCTTCCCTGGTTGAGTTGTGAGCAGCCCTGAGTCCCCTTCGGGGGAAAAGGGCAGCATATAAATAAAATCAACATAACATAAAAACATAAGCTCAGAGTAAGAGAAGGAAAAGCTTGAGTCATTGTGATACTACTGTCTATAACACTGGATCAGATTTCTGATGCTGGTGCAGGATCAGGGGTGAGTTTCTGCTGGCGTCACTGCTGGTTTTGTGCTTGCGCGACTTGCCTGACTTGCTCTCAGCACATGTTTGCAGTTGCTTGTAAATAGGTCTGCGCATGTGCAGAACATTAAAAATGTAAAAAAAAAACATGCAGCGGTGACCAGGGAACCGATTCGGGGGTGTGGCGAACCTGCCGTCCCTACCGGTTCGGTGACCCAGTTACAATTTCCACTACCTGTTCACCCGAAACAGTAGCAACCCACCTCTGTGCAGAATCCAATCTGGGTTGGTCGCCAGGACCAAAGGGTTTTGGACTTATGCTGGAGCCCATTCTCATGGAACTTCTCTCTAATGGAGTATCTAGGATCTGCTAGAGAGACGTTCCATGAGGATGGGCTCCAGCACAAGTCCAAAAGCTTGAAAGACTAAACCTCTGGTCCCGGTGACCAACCCAGATTGGATCCTGCAACATTATTCTGGGACCCATACATTTGTTCTGATGCTGGGCTTGAGGCTAATGTCCAGCAGGTTTCAGGAATTGATCCAAGATCCTTTAGATGCCTTTGCTGAGTCCATCCATTCTATTTTTTTGCTGAACAGATGAGTGCCAGATAGAGGCCCAAAAAGGTTTTAAAAAGCCCTTGCCTTCAAGACAAAAGGTTGGCATTTGAGGTTTCACACAAACTTTAGTTAAATAGAATCTAGGAGGAACAGAGAGCAATGTCCCATTCATTCTAAATCTTTACTTAAGTATTGGCTCCAGAGGTTCAGAGAGAGAGGAGCAGAAGCAGAGATGGTACCGTAAAAGAGAGAGACAGAGAAGGGGAAGATGTGCTCCATTAGGCTTTGAAAGATGTAATAAAAAATAAATCTTATGAATTCAGTAGGACTTTTAGTAGGACTGGCACTCTAGGAAGAAGATGATGGGCACAATAAACAAAAAAAGGGGGAATAATTTGTAGTGCTTGTAGAGTTTCTTTATAGTGTGTGAGGTTGTGAAGAAGACACCACCTAGTTCCATCCCAAAGTACCTAAATCAGCGATGGCGAACCTTTTTAGGCCCGCGTGCCATAAGCAGGGGGAGTGCAGGGGAGTCGTGAGCGGGCATGCCACACCCATAATGCAATGTGTGTCCCCCGCCCAGCAAGTATGCGTGCATGACAGGGACAACCCCACCCCCATTTTTTCATGCTTTTTTGCCCTCCCCAGGCTCCAGAGGCTTTATAGGAGCTTGGGGAAGGTGAAAATAGCCTCCCCCCCCCCCAGGAGGGCCTACGGAGGCTTCAGGAGCTTCCCTGAAGGCTCTGGAGCGCAAAAAAACAGCCCTACAAGCAAACCGAAAGTTCGGGAACAGACTTTCAGTTTGCTCGTAGGGCCGTTTTTTGTCCTTTGGAGCCTTCAGGGACCTTCTGGAGGCTTCCCTGAAGGCTCTGGAGGATGAAAAAAGGCCCTATGAGCAAAACAGAAGTCACTTCCAGTTTGCTCGTAAGGCCGTTTTTAGTCCTCCAGAGCCTTCAGGGAGCTTCAGGAGGCTTCCCTGAAGGCTCCAGAGGGCTTAAACCAGCCCTACGAGCAAATTGGAAGTCTGTTCCCAAACTTTGGGTTTGCCCGTAGGACCAGTTTTTTGTGCTCTGGAGGCTTCAGGGAAGCTCCTGAAGCCTCCGGAGGGCCTCCCAGGANTACAGGTGAAACTCGAAAAATTAGAATATCATGCAAAAGTTCATTTATTTCAGTAATGCAACTTAAAAGGTGAAACTAATATATGAGATAAGACTTGCAAAGCAAGATTTGTTATAATTGTGATGATTATGGCGTACAGCTCATGAAAATGTGACTGTGGAGATGTTCTGTTGGTTGTGTGAGGACTGGTTGTAAGCACAATTTTCAGTGCTATTGTAACTTTGAATGGCCAATAAAGGAATGGTTATGTGAGGACTACCTGTACTTAATACACCTGCCTCCTGTTTACCCAACAACCATTATACAACAACAATTTCCAATACAACTAAAAGTTAGAGAACTTTCTATCTTTTAGTGGGGAAAGGAATACTTCTATTCAATCTCAGTACAATAAATGCCACCTTTATGCAGTATATTCTGATTTCAATTATTTTTGCTGGATTGTTAAATGAGCAATGATCTGATCAAATTACCTGGGAGAAGCAATATTTTGTATAGAACCTCTACTCTGACACAATAGTCACATTGAGTGAAGAAAACTTTCTATGAAGTCGTTCCACTTTTTTTCCCAAACTCCCAGGGCCTTTTTCTTCTCATTAGGTTTCATACTACTGTATCTACAAAGGGAAAATATTCATTGATAGCAAGATACTTTTGAAGAAACAAATGTAGGCAGCCCTCCTCCCTCTCGCTCCTTCCCCCCCCCCGAAAATCATAATCTTAAAACCTAATACATTTGTATTCAAATAGAAGATACCGAATAAACAGAATACGGCGTGCTTTCCAATTAAACACATTAAAGCCAATTCTCATTTGCACTTAATGGTGACGCCAGGAACATCTTTTTTCTGCCCACTCATCTGAATGAGGGAAACTGAAGACATCCTTAACTGTGTTAGAATATTCATGATTGGGAAAGACATGGTAACAAGGTCAGCCAATGAATAGGCATAGCAACTAAGTCAGCCAATGGGAGTTTAAACAGATCTGAGTCTGTGCTGAGAATTGAAACTGAAACTACTCTATCTGCTCTGAACTCTGAAATGAAACTAACTGTTCTCTCCTGCTTGGGTTCTGCTTGTAATTTCTATCACGTTGAAAGAATCTACTATTGGTATTGTACATTTATTCATCTGTTGTTATGTGTATAAAGTTAATTAATCCAGCTGAATCAGTTATCTTTGTGTGCTTTCTGGATTTGATTTTTCTGCAACAAACTCTGATAAACTGTACCACTTAAAGTAGATTTCTCCCCTCAAATCTGCTAGAATCCATTAGCCATAAAGAGTGTGGATTATAATTCAGCAAAAGTTCTTAATATAGTAGCTGGTATGGCCCCAGCCTCAAGCCTTCTCTGTGGCTGCTCCGACCCTCTGGAACGAACTCCCTGTGGAGATTCGAACCCTCACCACCCTCCAGGCCTTCCGCAAAGCCCTTAAAACCTGGCTGTTCAGTCAGGCCTAGGGCTAAGAACTGTTGCCCCCGTCTCGAATTGGTATGACTGTTGTGTTTTTTAAATTATGCATTGTGTCATTTTTTAATGTGTCATTTTTTAATG